ATTCATTCATTCATTCATTCATTTATATAATTGATGCAACAGCATGGATAGACTCATGGTCTGTGTGGACATACCCATACTTACATAAACATAAACAAGTTGATACGATTTACAACAGATACATAACTAACAATTAACATGACATGGATAATATTACTAGGGACTGGTTAGCCTCTCATACAATATGCTAAACCCTTTCACGTTTCCACATGAAAACCACTACACCACCCTTTGATTCCCTTGCAGTTTCCACAATGTTTGTTAATAATATGATTTCAGGTATCAAGTGATTAGCACACCAACAGACATCTTCATGGTGATGGAGTTTGTGTCTGGTGGAGAACTCTTTGAATACATCCTCAAACATGGAAAGGTTGGTTTTCTTTATGGTCTATAGTTGCTTGATATACTGCAAGGATCAGCTCAATTTGATACATCTGATTACAACCGCAGTACAAATATATATTTCATATATATTCTCATACACATGTCTATGTAGATCATTTTCACGTGATGTCACAGCGGCGATATTGGTATAACGAAACTGAACATTTTCTATCCTCCTGGAATTGAAATCTATTTTTATGCAAAAACTGTAGGGAAAGTTTCATCTATTGTTTGGTTTGGCTGCCTTATCATTTCAGTGTAAATGCTCTACTGCATGTAATTGGTTATAAATCTATTTTACCTCCAACATAGTACATGTATGCAGGGAGTGGTTTCTCTGTATCCTGAGCCAGAGGTTCATCAGACTAAAGCTTTCAATTCCAGATTGAATTGTGAATCAAGAGTTTATTTTTATAAAGGGGRAAAAAAAATTGAGCACTGAGAGAATAAACCATAAAGTAAAGAAGAGAACCAACAGTAATGCTACATGTATTCATATACAACACTGTTCCTGGGTATCGGACCTGGGTCGCAACAGTACTTTACGGTGGTTTTCGATATTCTGCGAACACAGTCATTTCAACGGCTGGTTGTGAAATCAGTTTCTCAAATCGAATATTGAAAACCACAGTAAGAGGGTGGGTCATTAGCAGCTCACAGAATTATTCACTATCTGCAGGGTACAGTAGGTATAACTTTTTTTCCGTGTTTATTGTTTTAAGCTTGAAGACAAGGAAGCCAGAAGATTTTTTCAGCAAATTATTTCCGGGGTGGATTATTGTCACCGGCATGCTGTGGTTCACAGGTAACTTGAACTTGCTTACATTATTCCTTACATATATTACTGCAGTTTTCAACATTCTGTGAACAAACCTTAAGCATCATTCCCTTTACTGCTGTTTCCATATTCTGCGAACTCAAATATTTTAACAGCTCGTTGTGAAATTGTTTTTTTAATGCTGCCAGGTAATGACTGATTATTCTTGATTGACGGCTAGGAAAAACCAAATTTCAGTGTACTGCTTGTACAGTAAAGTCTATCGASTTTGCAGAATATCAAAAATCGCAGCAATTTGTAACCTCATTCATGTCTGTTACGGTACTTACCTCACTGTTTTTCTTCTCCACAGAGATTTAAAACCTGAGAATCTATTGCTTGACTCCAACCTTAATGTGAAGATAGCTGATTTTGGTTTGTCTAACATTATGAAAGATGGAGAATTCCTTCAGACAAGCTGTGGATCACCTAACTATGCAGCACCTGAAGTCATCTCAGGAAAGTAAGTGAAATGCCATCTACTTTCAATAATAATTTATATTTCTGCCCTCTAAATCTGTAGTTAGTGTGGTAACGTGAGGAGTGGTTAATAATTAGAATAATTAGCAATCATTACAGCCTTTATTTTGGTCAATAAAAAAAAACATCACTGTCCTTGATTTTACGAGAGTAGCATAAGCCAGTGGCTAACAAACCTGTGGCCCTCATTCCATGATCAAATTGGAATTCAGGAGTTGATTTTTGTGGAGGGAGGAAAACCAGAGAACCTGGAGGAAAACCCTTGAGATGACCAAAAAAATTGACTGGTTACATGTATTTGTTCGACAAGATGTGAATGGTTATCATGGTTTTGTTACCGTGTGAGCAGCTAATGTTTTTAACCCTGCAATAGTCACTGAGATGCTGTCAAGCCATTGGCCATTTAACCCATAATTTGAGTAGAAAAAAGGTTTATACATTTGTTTTTGTATGGGAATCATCGAAAAAACCAGTAAGACGAGGTTTTAAAGATGTTAGTTATTGTTTTTCTTATTACAGACTGTATGCTGGACCAGAGGTTGATATCTGGAGTTGTGGTGTAATCCTTTATGCACTTCTCTGTGGAACGGTAATAATATCATCAATTTCATTTACTCATCTACTGTAGTGAGGCACTTATTGATATGTGGTCGATTCACCCGGTGCAAGGTTTGCCCAAGATAAACCAACTTTGTACAGTCAGGGTTTGCGCTACTCCTTGAAATCCTTGAAAACTCCCTGAATTGAAAACACGTTTTTAAGGGTGCTTGAAAAGCCCTTGAAAATAGAGAAAATGCCAAAACTCCTGGGATACTCCTTGAATTTAATGAAAACATAACGCTTAGTATTTCTAACTTTCCTTTTAAAATATATAACGATTAAAATTTATTGAAGAGTTGCGTATATTTTGTAATTAGCCTAGCTGAATATCTGGGTACTTCTGGTAAGAATGCATATATTAAAGATCTATTTATCTCAGCTAGTGGCGCCGGCTGAATTAGCTGCACTGTAACATTGAATCAATGCTTAAACCACGTTTTAATACAAAAAACTTTGGTCCTTGAAAATCGAATTTTTGTGCTTGAAAAGTGCTTAAAAAGTCCTTGAATTTTGTAACGAAAATGTAGCACGAACCCTGTACAGTACATCTCAGATGAACCGATTATAAGACAAATCATCTGCAATTCCACTTTTTAGTTGCTATTTCTAAACCTCAATCCTTTCAAATTACAGCTTCCTTTTGATGATGAACACATTCCAACTCTTTTTAGGAAAATTAAAGGTAAGTTATTCAAATAAACAAGATTCTGATATACTGTAAGAAATAGATTTACATGTATAATGATGGAAACAAATGATGGAGGGAAATAATGGTGTCTGACTGACTGCCTGCCTGACTGCCTGACTGCCTGACTGCCTGACTGCCTGACTGCCTGACTGACCAATATTTAATGAGTGACTGAACGGAACCAACCAATGAAAAGCCCTACTCTTTTGGGATCAATATGATCCTCATTGTGCATAATATGTTTGTATTATAGGTGGAGTGTTTCACATCCCCCCTCATCTTAATCCAAGTATCAGTAGTCTTATATCTAAAATGTTGCTGGTTGATCCCATGAAGAGAGCAACTATTCAAAATATAAGGTGAGATCTTCATTTTAATTATTGTTTTGGGATGCCCGTGGAAAAACTTTGAGAGAGTAATTTAAATCAAGTTCCCATGTTTTTTTATTGTACACCAAATCAAAATATGTTGACCAATTTGAATATCTATTGTTCTGGACTGGCTAGCCTCATGCTCATGCCTAGACATAAAAGTCCTAAAAGTATCAGCCAGCATAGCGGTGCTTTGAGGAGGGGGGAGGGGAGGAGGAAAGGGAATCTCCCTCCCTTCTCCCCAAAGCGCCACTATGCATTCTAATAAAAGCATTTTCACAAATGCAAATTGGGTGCCATATTTTGATTTGGCGTATAGAGGGGCATTACAAATTGTTTGGAATTGTTTTCTTCTAGGGAGCATGAGTGGTTCAAGAATGGATTGCCGCCATACTTATTCCCAGCAACTGATGAACATGATAATTCAATAGATGAAGAATGTCTGGCTGAAGTGTCTTCAGTAAGGATAACATACAGTATATTTTTTATTCCTTGCCCTTTCATTAGTTTTGGTCGCAGATCCTCATGGGCCCTCGTTAGATTGTAATAGACCAATCCAAGGTTAATGGGAGCCATCTTGCAGGGGGTGCAAAAGCATTGGGGCGAGTGCTCGGCATGGCAAATGCATCATTATGCCAAAACATGCTCGCTGTTGCATTGGTCATTGTGTTAATGACAAGCGGTTTCCCAATCTTTGGACTGTAAGATCGCATGTTAAAGGCATGAGGTTCCATAAGTGACCAAGAACACCCGGCAAGATGGCGTCCATTAACCTTGGATCGGTCTGTTGCTAAATCTTTATTTGGCTTAGGAGAGAATTCTTTTCGCATTCAAGCGGTGAGTGCCAAAAACTATTTTCTTGAAGAAAGGCTGTTGTACAAGGCTAAAATCTTGTTATTCAGAAAGTTTAACTTGTTTGGAAGTGGAGATGACCAATGAAAGTGGAATCAAAGTGTTAACCCAAAGCAAAAATTTTATTCGAAAAGGAGGTTTAGGCCTTCATTTGCTTATTTCCCATATATTTTCTATGAAAAAGCCTGACAAAGCAACATTCTAACACAAATGCAACAAAACATCTTTGTACAATTGAAAATACCACTTCAAACAGGGATTTTATCATAGTACATCAGTTTCTAACTGTTTAAAAAAGGTTTTGAGTGTTTAACCCAAAACGAAAATTGGGATCAAAACTTATACGAAGGTCTAGTTTTTAGCGCTTTTTGCCATTATTACACGTTATTGAAAAAAATTTCCTCTTAACATTTTAGAAATTGCACTGTCCAAAAAGTGACATTTTAGCAGCCATTAATTCAGGAGACCCCCATGATCAGCTGAGGATTGCATATGATCTGATACTGGACAACAAGAAAATGAGATTGTTAGGTAAGAGGAATCTTTTTTTTTTGACAAATAAAACAGCTGATTTTTTTTCCTGTCCGGCATCCTAAAAAATTGTGTGTTCTGATTGGCTGTTTGAGGGGGCGGTATTTTGTCAGTATCTGCCCACGCACGCTGTCCAGTATCCTTTGCCGCTAAACGACAACACAAAATGATTACAAAAACAAGTAAAAAATAAACGGGAAAAAATAAATAAGTTATTTACCATCCTATAGTCGGTCTGGATAGGGAAAACTGTGCCCTTAGTCTTGAAAATGGACCTCGGCCTAACGGCATTGGTCCATATATTCAAATCCTTGGGCACAGTTTTTCCCTATCCGGACCTCCTGGCCGGTAAATAAAATATATTGCTTTTTCTTTGCTGTGTTCAGTAATAAAACACACAGAAAGTGGCATTGACACTAAAGACTTGTGAAGATTGTGTTACAGAGCATACAGTGCATGTTACAGTTCATCATAACCACCATCTTGGTTGATGATAACAAARCATTMYTCMTTAGCTTCTCTTGTTGGATCAACCAACATGGAGGTTGTTTCATTGTTATTCATATCTCAAGGAATTTTGAATCACTTGGTTGCACACAAGTTTTTCATTGCTCCGTTTTAACTATGACAGACGATTGACAAGCTGCTATTTTTAGCCCTGAGCCCTCTGACTTCCCTGAAAGAGTATTAAGTTTTTTTCATTTTAAAGTAATAAAGCATGCAGGGAGTAACATACCATACTGGAGGCATAAAAGAAGTGTGAAAAGAAGCACAAGCTGCAAGCATTTCCTTCTCCCACCTCTTGAGTGCTTTCAGAACCTTCCTATAAGTTAGTGTAAAACAAAAAGAAAAAGAAAAAAGAAAAAAGAAAAAACAAAAAACAAAAAAAAATCAATACTTTTTTCAGGGAAGTCTCAGGGCTAAAAATAGCAGCTGGTCAATGTCATAATTATTGGCCAAATTGGTTTATTTCTTGCACAGCATAACTATGTAACTGGATAAAAACTCTTGGTTTTACTAGACAACTTCCAATTTTGGCCAGATTTTGCACAATGACTGGCTATAATTTTAGTCCTGGAGGTGTGTTGGATTCAATCCCAATTGCATATTTTTTGTTCTTATATATTTGAATTACTTTATCCAAAAGTATTATTATTATTATTATTATTATTATTATTATTATTATTATTTGTGAAAATGGTTTATGAAAAATTATTATTTAGTCAAATTGCCCTAATTCACTATGACGTCACTGCTTTTTTATGGGGGGGATAGAATCGCCGAATCTAATAGATAATTCAACAAAATTTGCTCCTAACGAAACAGTTTAATCTAAAATGGCCTGGTTTTCAGATATAATATGTGTTATTATCATATGACCCGTACGGCCCTGCTCGCGCGCTCTAATAAAACCATTGGAAAAAGTCACGTGATGGGGGCCGGACGGGTTGACGTAAGCGGGCCGGAAAAACCCGTCCGGCCCTGCTCGAATCCGCGCGCTTTCTTTTTCTTAATAATTTTTATTTTCGTGAGGGTCATATGATAAAATGCTTATTGACTGAGTTAGGTCGGGCCGTAYGGGAAAATATTTGGCTCTCGGTCATTTGTACGACATGACCTCGAGCCAAATATTTTCCCGTACGGCCCTCCCACTCAGTCAATAAGTACATAATATGTACTAAAAAATATTCTGAGCGTTTGCTGGCTATTCTACTTCTCTTCGTGGATTGATATGGGTTTTAGAACAATTTTTGGTGAATTTGCGTTGATTTGACCCTTTACGTTTAAACAATAGATTGTTTTGATGTGACGTCATAGTGAAATAGGGCAATTAAAGTAGAAAAATGCATCCTTAAATTTATTCTGTTCCAGCTTTAGAAACGGGTCACAATGATCATTTCTTCTCTTCAGTGTCTCCTCCAACATCATCGTTTCATGTCACAGAAGCAACCAACCCACTGGTAAGTCATTGCATACAATCCATATTCACAGTATACAAACATGGACATTTCTCTGTCCATCAAAGTCTGGCCTTGAAAAGCATAATTTTTAGATCTCGCTAAAAATTAACCCTGTGCAACATGCAATACTACATGATAAGTCTTTTAATCTTAGTACTTTCTAACTTTAATTTTTGGTTTCTGTACTAATATATTTTCTGTCTGTAAGTTTATTTTAAACAGAGCCCCATT